ACACTGGCCCTAAACCCCACCTCTTCCTCCGTTACATTGATGACTGTATCGGCGCTGCCTCGTGCTCCCACGAGGAGCTCGAACAGTTCCTCCACTTCACCAACACCTTCTACCCCAACCTTAAGTTCTCCTGGACCATCTCTAATACCTCTGTCTCCTTCCTGGACCTCTCTGTCTCCATCTCGGGCAACCACCTAGAAACCGATATCCATTTCAAGCCCACCGATTCCCACAGCTACCTTGAATACACCTCCTCCCACTCACCTTCCTGCAAAAATGCCATCCCCTATTCCCAATTCCTTCGCAACCGCTGCATCTGCTCCCAGGATGAGGCATTCCACTCCCGTACATCTCAGATGTCCTCATTTTTCAAGGACCGCAACATCCCCCCCCACAGTGGTCGAGAACACCCTCGACCGTGTCTCCCGCATTTCCCGCAACTCATCCCTCACACCCCCTCCCCCCAATAACAACCAAAACAGAATCCCCCTCGTCCTCACGTACCACCCCACCAACCTCCGGGTCCAACACATCATCCTCTGACACTTCCGCCATCTCCAATCCGACCTCACCAGCAAAGACATTTTTCCCTCCCCACCCTTATCTGCTTTCAGGAGGGACCTGTCTCCCCGTGAATCCCTTGTCCGCTCCACATTCCCCTCCAGCCCCACCACACCCGGCACTTTTCCCTGCAACCGCAGGAAGTGCTACACCTGCCCCTACACCTCCCCCCTCACCCTCATCCCAGGCCCCAAGACTTTCCACATCAAGCAGATGTTCACCTGCACATCTGCTAACGTGGTATACTGCATTTGCTGTTCCCGTTGTGGCCTCCTCTCCATCGGGGAAACCAAGCGGCGGTTTGGGGACCGCTTTGCAGAACACCTACGCTCGGTTCGCACTAAACAACTGCACCTCCCAGTCGTGAACCATTTCAACTCTTGCTCCCATTCCTCAGATGACATGTCCATCTGTACCTCCTGCAGTGCCACAGCGATGCTACCCGAAGGTTGCAGGAACAGCAACTCATATTCCGCTTAGGAACCCTGC